ACTACTACCATTGGAGTCTTACAGTCGCCTCGATCGAGTCTTGAAGACTCTTCCCCATGCCGGTATCCATTCCTTTGATCAGGTGGAAGATATGTATCCTTGCTCGCCTATCCAAGACGGGATGATCTTGAGTCAGATCAAGGCCCCGGAATCGTACTGGTCGTCAACCACGTTCGAGGTCAAATCGAAGCGAGGCCCAGTCGATGCCAGTCAAGTCATCGATGGATGGAAGCAAGTCGTTGCCCGTCATCCAGCGTTGCGCACCGTCTTCATCGACAGTGTCTGCAAAGGAGGCGTCTTCGATCAGATTGTCGTCAAGGGCCCCGATTCTGGCATAGTCAAGTATACTTGCAAGGACAGCGAAGTGACCAAGATGCTAGAGTCCATCAAGCATGGCTCTCTCAACGGCAAGAAGAAACCTGTCCTTCCCCATCAGGCTGCTGTCGTCCAGACTCCTTCAGGCAAGATCTTTGTTAAGGTCATTGTCAACCATGCCGTCATCGACGGAGGCTCACTCGGCATTATCGGACAAGATCTCCAGGAAGCATACCAAGGGGAGCTATCTGAGGACGGACCGCTATACAGCGACTATATCAAGTACCTGCGCGGTCTCCCAGTTGATGATGCGGTACTGTACTGGAAGGCCAAGCTTCGCGGTGTCAGCCCATGCTATTTCCCGACTACGCCTCGTGACCCCAGTAAGCAGCGAGAGCTTCGATCTTTGGACATGCGCTTTACCCGATTCGACGAGATTCACGATCTAGCGGAGAGCAGCAACGTCACTTTCGCCAATATCCTCCTCGCAGCATGGGCTCTGGTGCTCCGCTCTTACACCAACTCCTCCGATGTGTGCTACGGATATCTCACGTCTGGAAGAAACGTACCAATCGACAATATCGAGAGCGCAGTTGGCGCGTTCATCAACATGTTGGTATCACGAGTTCAATTGAAACCGGCTTCTTCACTGCTCCAGATCGTTGAGAAGGTGCAGTCCGACTTTGTCGACTCCATGCCACATCAACATTGCTCGCTCGCTCAATTCCAGCATGATCTTGGTCTTTCTGGAAAATCGCTCTTCAACACTGCCGTCTCGATTCAGAGGCGCGGGAACACAGACGAGCCCGCGGCAGATGACTCTGGTATTGAGTTCGAGCAGCTTGATGGCCACGATCCCAGCGAGTTCGCTATCACGGTCAACATCGATGCCACTCGCGACGATGAAGCCGTGCGCTTCACGTATTGGAGTGATGCAGTTACCGATGCCGAGGCGAAGAACGTTTCTGCTCTCATGGCAAAGGTCCTGGCCCAGGCGCTCAACAACGCACAGCAAACCATTTCAGACTTGGATAACTTCATCAAGATCAAGCCGACACAGTCTTCACCCGGGCACCTTGCTTTACCCAAGCCGCGTCCTATTCTCAGAACCAGCTCGAGCATGTCCAGTGCCGGATCAACCTCACCACCTCGTACGCCGAGGATCACATTCCCTGATCTGACACCAGCGGCGCCGCAGCCAGCTGAGACACCTGACTGGAGCAGCCTCATCCGATCCATCGTCAGCGAGATGGTGCCCCAGATCGTCGAACAGATCGTAGCGCAGAACAAGCTGACAACCGAACCCACATCTGCGACAATCGATCAGATGACGAACCAAATGACGGGGATGCTCACGAGAAAGCATTCAATGTCACAACGCGGACGACCGAGTGTCGATGGAGCGTCTATACACCCAGCCTCACCACGAGCAGCCTCTATACGTTCGCGCCGCATGAGCATTGCCAGTAATGCGGAGAACAGGATCCAGACCGCTGCTGACATGGTCGCCACTCTTGGTGTCATTGCCACCGAGACCTCTACCAAAGTCACACCCGACATTGTTGAGAAGAAGCTACTCAATCTGTGGGCTGAGCTTCTCGAGACGGTGGAGGACACCATCGAGCAAGAGGATAGTTTCTTCAATCTCGGGGGTGATAGCATCATGGCTATGCGCCTCGTCGGAGCCGCGAGAGAAGAGGGCCTTTCAATGACCGTGGCTGATGTGTTCAAGAACCCCACATTTGCCGACATGGCTCGTGTAGTACGTGTTGCGGGCGAGGTCATTGATGAAGTTATGTCCCGAGCCGGCGGCGGCTCAGTGGCAGGCAAGAGTGTCGGAGGCCAGTCTAGGTCTTACCAACGCGGCAGAGCCGCATCAATCTGGAGCGACTTCCAGGACAACATGTTCGATCCAAACGCCGACACCAAGAGCATAGCTCCCAGCGAGATGCCCGCCGAGTCGGAGCTGAGCCACAGAGATTCGACTATGTTGAAGAGGTTGCAAGGGCTTACCACCGGCCCAACGAAGCCAAATGCCTCGCGCAAAATCAGTTCAAGGCCGTTGGCGACGCATACTATCCAGGAAGGTGTTGAGAGCTCTCTCAACAGGTCCATTTCGATGCTCGGAGACCCCAATGTCGACAGTGTCATTTCGAAAGTGCAAGTATTCAAGGGAGGCATCTCGGACGTCTTCCCTGTCACAGACTTTCAATCACTCGCCATCACTGGTACTCTCATGGAGTCAAAATGGATGCTTAACTACTTCTACCTGGATGGAGATGGGCCTCTCGATCTTCGCAAGCTCAAGCAAGCTGCTTACCGTATGGTACAAGCCTTCGATATTCTTCGCACTGTATTCGTCCCCTATGGCGATCGCTTCCTTCAGGTCGTATTGCGGAAGCTTCAACCAGAATTCATATACCATCAAACCGACGAAGATATCGACACCTTCACCAAGGATCTGCAACAGAAGGATCGAGAGGGCGGACCACGACTTGGCGAAGCGTTCATCCAATTTGTGGTCGCGAAGCAAAAGCAAACAGGGCAATACCGTATCTTCATGCGACTTTCACACGCCCAATACGATGGAGTGTGCATGTCCAAGATTCTCAGTGCGCTCCAAGACGGATACAATGGCCTTCCAGTCTCATCTGCCCCAAGCTTCGGCAACTTTGTACGCGAAACTGCCAAGACAGTATCGGGAGCCCACGATCACTGGAAAAACATTCTTCGCGGCTCTAAGATGACAGAGATTGTCAACCGATTCGGCCCCAACTATCAGCGCTCAGCTGGCCAATCCATCACGCTCGAAAAGAGAGTCAGTGCACCCAAGCTCAAGGGCGTCAACATCACCAGCGCAACGGTGGCCAAGGCCGCTTGGGCTTCGACTCTCTCCCGTCTTGTGAGCAAGGCTGATATTGTCTTTGGTCACGTCATCTCAGGCCGTAACGGCGGTGTCGCCAATGTCGAGAACATCGTCGGCCCTTGCTTGAACATGGTACCTGTTCGCATCGTGTACCGACCTGATTGGACTGTAATGGATCTTCTCAAGTATGTTCAAGACCAACAAATCGCGAACATGCCATTTGAGTCGCTCGGCTTCCGCGAGATCACCCGACACTGCACGGAATGGCCTGACTGGACAAACTTCTCCAGCGTTCTGCAACATGACCAGAACATTCAAGATGACCAGCCAACTATGCAGCTAGGCGGCATCGAGTACACCATCGGCGCCGTTGGCTCTCAGGAAGACTTCGCAGACTTTTCCATCCACACTACCTCCCGTGGCAACGAAATGGATGTCACGTTGACGTACGTCCCGAACAGCACGGTTACCACAGAATTTGCACAGCACGCATTCGACATTCTTTGCGCCAATGTCATCGCTTTCTCGGAAGACCCGCACACTCTGCTTCCATTGTTTACAGAGGTCAGCTCCGGTAGCTCGACTACCGCCAACTCAGAGAAGATGCGCAAGCGGTCCGTGGAGAAGCAGCCGATCACTTTACCCACCGACACAGGCCTCTCAAATCACGAAACAAACACCCTCGCTACAACGCTGCGATCGGCCTGGGAGCAAATTCTACACGACGAGCGTGGCTCTCCTACACCCATTGATCTTGGCTCAGACTTCTTCCAGCTGGGCGGAGACATCATGGGCTTGGCACAAGTCGCATCCATTCTTGACCAAGATGGTCTGAGAGTCAGGGTCGAAGACTTGCTCGACAAGTCTGTGTTCGTGGATCAAGTTGGCATACTTGCTGTGGAGCGCAAGAAGCAGATTGAGCGAGAGGCGCAGAACCCTTGGGGCGAGAAGGGCAAGACGAAGGTTGAGGTGAAGGGAGTGAAGGAGAAGGAGAGGAGGGGTAGTGGGTTTGGTCAGTTGGCTAAGAGGATTGGATTGAAGAGGAAGGAGAGTTCGAAGTCAATTTTCCAGATGGGAGGGTGATTTGGTGGAGTTGAACTTTAATGTATTAGTATTACGGGTATCTAGGGGCGTACGGTGTTGACTGATTGGGTTCTTATTCAGCGTTCTTCTACAAATAGTTCCCTTTACGTCGCTTAGCAATAGTTACATGCATAACACCTCGACTTCTCAACCCTCGCCTGATTCGTGCAGAACTAGCTCATTGCCTCTGACGCTGCCCGTCATCGCTCAGCGAACGCTTCCTCTTCCTTTCGCGCGTCGTTATCGTAGCCCCAGCCCATAGCTGCCCTGGATGTATCTTTTGCAAGTCAGCAAAATGTCGCCGAATCTCTTCGCAATGCTCTTTCGCAAGCTGTCTTTGTATATCTGCTTCATCAAAACTTGAAGCGATTTCAGGATGCGCATGTTCTGGATGTTTGTACTTGTCGCTACCGCATGCAGGACAACAAAAGGCATCGGCTAGCCATGCGAATGCTTCGGTACCGCAAGTGGTGCATATCATGTAGTCAATGACTGTGTCGGGGTAGATGTTGTAGTACGACATTCTGTTCTAGATGCACGGTGCGCGGTGGTATCTTGGTCAACTGTGTAGTGGCGAAGATGGGTTGTGGGCAAGGAATGATGTGTTGGCCGCGATCGCATCTAATACGTTGGCTCTGTGTAGAGACAGCTGGCTAGTGGCAGAACAAGCATTCCATCAGTGGAATCATTACACAATTCGTTAAATACATATATCGCTGAGAATGGTAACAGCTTTCTACACTTGCCCATCTCCGTCTTCTTGATCTGAGCCCGGCTTGTGGCCGTGCCCTTCAATGTCCTCCATGTCTTCATCCATACCGGGCCACAAGACCTTCTTCTGTAGCACACCTTTCACATTGAGTACCGCCACCCAGATCCACAGCATCACCAAAACAATGGTCATTGCGCTGCACACGCCCTTGATACCTGGACTGTCCAGTGCGTTGGCGATGTAGATGAGTGCGATGGTCATTCCAGCGTTAGGGAAGATGAATCCCCAATGATTCAAGGTGAAGTGTGACTCCTTAGCACTGATGACAATGCTGATGGTGGCGATGGCGGAGAACCAGAAGGAGATTAGCCATAAGAAGATTCCCACGATAACTCCGAAAGCCTTGAAAGCATCACCAACTGGGAAGGATGTGATACCCAGCAGATGTTCGGGGACGTGCTTCGGTGCCTGCATACCAAGCGAAATGCATGCGTTCGCAGTGTATGCAGCCGGACCAACAGCCACATACATGCCGGGGCGTTTGGGTATCTCGGGAAGATTGCTGTTAACCAAGCGCGTGAAGTAGAGGGTCAACATTAGGAACGCGATAGTCCAGCCCAAGCCCTGGAAGGTAACGCTGCCGACGAAGATGGCGAAGCCAGGCCCAGGTGGCTGGCTCTTCAACAGTGTACCACCCAGAACTCCAAGGACAAGGAAGGGGTATACCGGTAGGATCCAAGCGGGCATTGCGTCGGTAACAGGAAGCTCACGTCGATCGAAAATAACGTGGTATTGGAAAACGGCGACCAAGATGACGATGGCCGCGTATAACCAGAAGAGTATTTCCAATGTCTTGATGAGCCATGGTCCTGAAGATGGCACTCCGTACAGCTCGATACAGTAGATGATGAGTGCGATAGATACGAAAAATGCGCCGAAGAAGAAGCTTTCGTGTGGGTGGTGCAGACTGAGCTTAAGGGATCCACGGTTGTGGATGAAACGGTAGGTGATGCATGCGCTAAACGCAAGGAACAAAACGATATCCAAAATGAAGAAAATCTTCCCAATGGTCTTTAATCCGTGGAAGCTGTATGGCTGCTGCCCGAGAAGTGTCGCAATGGCGCCGGTCGACATAGTGCACTCAAACCACGACCAAGTAAAGTGATCTAAGCGCTTCTTCCATGGCAAATATGTGGGGTTGTAGTCTTCTCGTTGCGCGGGCCGGGGGCGCCGTTTGATGGGTCTGGCACGGGCACTCATGTTGTCGGTAGAGGAGGTGCCTGAAACCAATGAAGTCGTTGATTCGGGATGCGAGGATGATGGGCGCGACGGGGACATGGTGTCTTATCGACGACGGGGGATGACCGTTGACAGCGAAGCAAATCCCATATTGCTTGACGTCAATTTGGCATTTTCTTCGATGCGATTTGGCTCGATGCCAAGCGAGAAAGTCAAGGTGTCATGCGAGTTGGGTTTAGCGCGCGCTGATCTCAGCACAGGTCGAGCGAAGGAGGTCTTGCCGCCCGTCGATGCTTGAGCCTCACAGATCACCAGACGCAACTGTTACAGCCATCCTGGAACTTTTCACCATGCCAATATTGCCCATCCCCCGAACTTTACCATGTTTAGCGTCTATCCGCGTTCTGTGGAGCCCTGGGGACCTCCGCGGTGATGATGCATCTATGACGTCGCGGCTACAGCTAGTGCAGCATTCACGATCGCAACTCAGACCCATGCAAAGCCAACCCTTGGCCCTGGGCATTCATTGATTACCAGATTTTGAGATGTCGCTTTCTGATGTGTACGATAGCGCAAAGCGCGCTCTTTCTTCAGCTCCGCCAAACGACTCCTACCTTCGCTGGGATGCGCCGGGGGTGGAGACGCCAAAACCCAACGAAGATGAGACCGCTAAGAAGATTGGAGAGACGATGAACAGGATGCAGCAGCACAATTTCGATCAGCATCGACATGCTTTTCGAGCGACGCACGTCAAGACGCAGGGTATTGTCAAAGGCAAAATGACCGTGCTTCCGGACCTGCCGGCCCACCTACAACAAGGCCTATTCAAGACACCCGGCAAGATCTACGATGTCGCGGCACGATATGCTAATGAACCTGTCTTTCTTCAAGCAGACCAGCAGCCAGGGCCTCGCGGTTTGGGAATGCGAGTATTCGGTGTGCAGGGTGAGCAGCTCCAAAGCTCTGACCCTGAGGCCAGTACGCAGGATGTGTTTTTCAATAACGCTCCGTCGATCGAGTTGACCGATATCGATACTTGTCTTGAGATCATGGAACTGAGGGAGAAGTACTTTGACAGTCCCTTGAAGTTGGCCGCAGCGACAAAACTAAGGACAGATGCGATCAAGCAAAGTGCGCCTGGTAGGCTACGTGCTGTTTCTGGATGTTATTTGTCTTGACTCATTGCGCTAGGTATGCTCCCGAATACGAACATAATCAGCCACTCGTTCTACACTCAGAGTGCATTTCGTTTTGGCGAATGGTATGGCCACATGGCGCTCTTCCCAGTACTCGACGATATGAAGCAACGAGAGGAGAAAGTCAAAGGTAGTGACTCGCGAGAGGCACTTCGCGATTGGCTGTTGGAGTACTTTGCTGATAATGGCGCCAAATACGAGTTCAAAGTCCGTCTCGACAACGCCTAATTGTTGTCGCTTTTGCTGATGTCAAGTGCAGATTCAGCTCGGTACTTCACCTGCTCATCACCCGACCGAAGACGGCTCAGTGGTATGGGACGAAGCTACGGCGCCATATCAGACCATCGCAACAATTGAATTCCCGCCTCAAGATGCGTTGAGCGCCCAACGAAGAGTCTTTTGGGAGGACATGATGAAACTGAACCCATGGGATGGACTGGTGGCACATCAGCCACTGGGTAGTATCAACCGTTTGAGGAAAACGGTCTACGAGATGAGCAGGAAGAAGCGTGAAGCTGTGAACGCTACGCCAACCAAGGCGGTCAACAGTGTCAACGAGATACCATGAGCATCGTAAAATTAATATACACCAGTGTGACGAAGTCTTCAGCTCAGCTGAGCGGTGTCATTTCACTCTCGCGCAGTCCAGGCAAGAAGCTCTGCAACAGCCAACGTGTAACGCTCGTATATCCAACATCTCATTTTATACTTATGATACGAAGAAACCGATATGGTTTCACTTCCCCGGTCTTTCGTACTGGTACCCGCTATCCGGTCACTGCTACACGCCATTGTGTTTTAGCTTACCGTAATATACGAGCTGTCTTAGTGTACAAAGCCCATACACAACCGGCTGGTACGCCTCACGTAGCGTGAGTATGCCTCAGCTGACACCAATAAGCGTACCTCCAGACGTGGGACCATGTGATTGGTATCTGCATGCCGGCGCGCATCATTGGAGGCCGAAAATAGCTGGCCAATCATTAATGATCGCCACCAATACTCTAACGAAGAACTTCGTTTGCTGTCGGTTACTCGGTCGCACCGGTGCAATGATCCTCGTGGTATGTAGACAAAAGTAGCGAAAGGGTTGCTGCAGATACGAGGATCAATCACGGCCACGCTGTGTGTGGAGTGTAGTAACAGTATAAGAGAGCTGTCACAGTTGTCCTCGCAACAACTGTCCACCTTCAATCGCAAACTCGGTCTTCAATCGGCAACATTCTTCAAAATGCTCTTCAACGCACTTGCCGTCACTGCACTGGCCGCATGCGTCAATGCCGCCGGTCGCGCCATCGTAACCAACCACTGCACCGATCCAATCTACCTCTGGTCTGTTGGCAGCAGCATGAGCGACCAGAACATCATCTACCCCGAATCATCGTACAGCGAGCCCTTTCGCACTGATCCCAAATCTGGTGGCATCGCCCTCAAGATCTCCCCCATCGAAGGCGGAATCTCCAAGCCCAACGTCAGCCAGACCATCTTCGCCTACAATCTCGACGTCAACCAGGTCTGGTACGATATGAGCGACATCTTCGGTGACGGGTTTGCCGGAAAGTCCTTGACACTCAAGCCAACGGATGCTACCTGCGAAAGCATTGTATGGGCTTCAGGCGAGCCACCCGCGGGTAGTCAGATTAAGGTCTGTGGGGCTGAGACGGACTTGGAGCTGACATTCTGCACGCCTCCGCCGCCGTCGCAGTGCTTGCCCGCTTGGTCTCCTTGCGGGACGAGTGCGCCTCCGGGTGAGACGAGGCTGTGCTGCACGCATTGCATTGGCAATCATCACTGTGTACAGGCTCCAGGTTCTTAAGTGAATGTGGTTCAATGGCGAAGCGGACAAGAGTGGTATAAAAGCTGGGCATTCGTTCTTTACTGAGGAGAAGGGACTATCGAGGTAATGTTTTTATCGATACGTAGTTTTGCTGTTTAATACGTCGCTCATTCAGACTTTGATAGATGCAATACACTGTCTAGAACAAATGTTTTGCTAATGCTTCACCAGGGCCTTCTGCTCTAGTGATTTTTGACGTTAATATTCGTTGGACTCAGTCCTGTTTCTGGGGCAGTAACCCACGGAAGCTCTTCGCCTAAGACAGTCTCAGTACTCATTCGAAGATCTCACAGATCTCACCATCAGCTAGAGTGACAATCGGGATTCCTGCCCTCTTCGCCATCTTCGGAAAGTTCACCACTATGTGATCAGGCGGGGCCAAATCGCCGCGCCAATGCACCTCTAGGCGTCGTAAATCCTTCAGAGGCGCGAATTTGCCCTTGAGAAAATCATCTAGCGAGACCAGGGTATCATGATCCGCTTGATGAATCGCGAGGGTATCCACACCCGCCAGGATAGGGTAATGGTTCAGGGTTGGACCAGACTCGACTTCGAGGATCCGCAGATTGGGGATACTCTTCATGAGGGCTAGCAGGTTCTGTGCAAACCTTCCTACGCCCCTGAAGAAGAGTCCTCTTGTGACTATGACTTTGAGGGTATTGACGTTAACCCAGCACCCTTCGTGCACTATTGGAAATGCTGTACTTCTATCGTACTCGAGAGTGAGGTTGGTGAGAGTGGAAAAAGGAATCGCGCTGAGACCTTCAAACCCCGTGGAAAGTGCGAGTGACGATATCCTGGCGGGTGACAAACCCTGTTTCATTGGTGTGAGGTCGAACGCTGAATCCCAGAAGTAATGTTTGGGATTTTGAGATTCCGCAAAAGAACGTCTCGTGTACAGTTCCGCGGTCTGAAGTTTGGGAAGTGCCGTGAGAATGAGGCCGCACACTGCGGCCTCTGAAGGAGATATGAAGTCGTTCATGAGTGACTTCTTCTCCTCAACCGATAGCTGGAGTGACTCCGCAATGTTACCCAGATTCTTTTCACAGCTACCACAATTGCAGAGCCTGTCTTTTTCGTAGTCTTTTGGAATCCAAGCTGGCGACTTGTTCCAGAACCAAACAGCCAGGCTGCGCACACGGATGCCAAGTTCTGGACGATGGGTTATCGTACGTAGAAAGGGCGCCAAGAAAGAAGGGGCCCTCTTCTTCAGCAAATACGAGCGGTATGGCTGAGGCAGGGAGACGTCGCGATACAAAATGGCTTGGGCTATAGGGAGCAGGCGCTTGCATGTTAGACTCGTGAAAAGTATACTCTGAACTTCTGCCCCATGCCTCCAACGCGCCTGCTCAGTTTCTGGTGCCACTTCTGGGTATTCCCCGTATGTGCGGTCATAGGTGCGATCGCCATACCCTTGTTCTATGAGCAGACGCTTGGTAGGCGCAAGGTACTCTACTATTCGCAACATCAGCTCGTTGGGTAAACGCAGAAGACGGCTGTCATCTGGTTTTCGCGTCGGTGATGAGGACGGATCGATGCGCAGGTAATCAAAACACTGAGCCATGGAGTCGTCGGAGTCATCGGAGTCGCACCAATCCCTCCGCGCGGGTGCCATTTGATCGTAGTGGTGGAGGATGGAAGTAGAAATGTATGTTCAGGTCTGACTGTGGGGATCGTGATCAGCTCGCACAGAAGTTGGTATTTCCAAGCGCTTTCTCTACTTGACAAGCGCACCAATGGGTGTGCGAGTCTTTCTTCCGTTGCTCGTGACAAACCAATGTGTGTGTGTGTCCTCAAATCAGGCAGAAACAGAGCTGTGAACTCGGCCCCGCGGGACATTAGGCCTCCAGGGCCGCAATTTGGGGCAGGCTATGCCGGATTCGGTATAGATCAAGATAGGGGAAGGGCAAGCGTGACGCAACATCTCTCAATTCCACTTCGCAGCTAGTACGCGCAACCATATTGCCATGGCAGCTGGTAGCTCTGTTCAGATCGGATTACTTTGCGCGAGCTCTTTATATGCGAGCAAGACTGCTTGTTTCCTACTGCAACTTTGCCGTACTATACAAACATGAAGGCCCTGACGATTGACAAAAGTACCTAGGTAGCTACACGTTTACCGCAACTCATCCTCGCCCCTGTACACATATCCTCTGACACGCTAGATCATAACAGCGTCTCCATCAGCGTCCCACTCAACCTCCACCCTATCCATCGGATCCTGATGCACACCAAAAGGTCCCATCGCTTTCTTCCAGCACACGTACTCCGCACGATGTAGCACATCCGGTTCGGCCTTCAATCGCCACGGCGTACCACCCTTCGACTCCCACGTCGACATAGTCCACGGCGGGAAGTAGAGATACACCGCAATCTCGGCGTCGCGACATATTTTGCGTACATCGTCGATTGGATCTAGACAGTTGTCCAGTTCGGCGCTGAATCTAGTGTTGTCTAGATGTTCCATATGATAGGCTTCTATGCGCGTGAGGTTGGGTAGGTGGAGCTTTTTCTTAGCGAGACAGAGCGTATTCAGGAAGTTGGCTGTGATGTGCGTCGCCTCGCTGATGCGCAGGACTTCCAGCGTCTTTGGGAAGATCTCCGCCGGATCCGTAATTGGCAGTCCTTGTCGTATGATTCCATGGCCTTGTATCGCCTTCATAGTCAGACCGACTTCCCTCAGGCTCTCGAAGCGGCGGAGGTCGAAGACCGTAGTCACGCTGTGGGAGTACCTTATCGCTGTCATGTCGCTCGGTATCTCAAGCACTGTCAAATGCGGTAACTTGGCTGTCAGTGCTCCAAGCAAAAACTTGTGCTTCCACTCGTATGGTAGTGTATAGCTTGCGCGAGCGGATGCAGACCGTGTACTCGCGAAGAGAGGAAAGTCCATGAGCCATGTATCGCCGAGCTTCAACTCGCGTAGATTGGGTAGAGCGCAGATGAGGACGCCGAATAGTGCAGGGACAATATCATCTTTAATAGCTTCTAGCCATTCCTTCGCATGTCGTTTGTTGGTAGCGAAGTGATTGATCATGACCCCACATGCTTCCAGAAACTCAGCGTCCTGCCTTATGTAATCCGGAGCAGGTAGCGCATTGTACTTGGGTTGGGTGAGATACACTTGTACCCCAGTGCGAGTAGTATGCTGAGTTCTGGTTGTCCTGCCTTCACTCTTACTCCAAATCTCCAAGCTCTTGACCTGACCGAGCAAGTGCGACCGGTAGCCCAGTTCTGACATGTACCGATCGATGAATGCGAGATTGAACCTTGGTTCTTTGAGTAACCATTCTTGCGCGACAGGCCGCCATCTCTTGGATACGAGCGCAAGACTTGCAAGATCCCGGTTGCGACTCAAAGTCGTGAACTGTGCGCCGATGTTGAGAAGTAATTCTTCGGGAAGATCACCGATGGTCTTAGGTGTGCGAGGTGAATGTGAGAATCCGGATGGTCGGGACATGATGGGCAAGCTAGAGAAATTCGGGCTGAAGCAAGGGTCGTGCGGGCGGTGATATGGTGGGGTAGGCGCGAGGCTGAGATGTCTAATTAGGCAGCGGTGATGAGTGGTTGACTGGCGCACAGGCTGCGATAGGGTGTCATCGACGGATAACAAGCTGCCAAAATATAAGCATAAGCTTGCGTTATCGTAAAGATTGGGTCACATCGAATGCGGGGTGACCAAATTTTGGAAGTTTGGAAGAAGCGCACGGTTGTGTCACGTGTTTGTGTCTTTC